TGCGCGACCACGTGTGGCGCACGCCGCACAGGTACCGTGCACATCACAACGGCCTCACAGGGTCCGCTCGCCGCCGGGGCGCGACTGTGCACGGAAATGACCGTTGGGAATATCGCCGGGTGTCCCACTCCATCGCCCCCCAACACTCGTCCGCCCGCACTCCTGCCGTTGGTACCACTGTTCCCCGACGCGGTCCTTCCAGAGTGGGAGTGCATGCACGGAGCACTGATGGGAAGCCATAGCCGCCGATTGTGGTGGAGGGGTTGGCGAGGAATAGGGGTTGTGGAAGGTGGTGCGATCGTCAAGCGGCCGCCACAGCTGGTGTGCAAGGGTCGACGCTGTTCCCATAACAGTGACAGTGTGGCCATGTCTCCATCGGATGTGGCTAGTGCGGAGGAGGAGTGGGAGGACATGATGTTCATGCTCATTCTCCTCATGACCCAGTGGGTGAATAGGCGCAATGCTGCGGCCATGGCCATTCTTGAAGCAGTCGCCATCACCCCGCTCATGTTCGGGGATGTATCAGGGGCGCTGACGATGCTTGCAGGGGGAATGGTTCACGGGATGGCGTTGAGCTGGTTGGCAGCGCAGGAGTTGGGAAGACACCTGAGGTTTCAGAGAAGGCGGTTGTGGATGTTGGAGCGTAGCGGAGGTTTGTGGAAGGACCTGCAAAGGGTGGGTGGGGAGCACGATAAGGTGTTCGTGTGGTTCTGCAGATTACCGCGACCACTGTTTTTGCAAGTTCTCCAGCGCATCACCCCCCATATCCAGCGTTCGCCTACCAATTTTCGGTTGCCTCTACCGGCCGGACAGAAGTTCGTTTCGCACTCATCCGATGGGCGACGGGTGGGTACTACCGGCAATCGGCCCACAATTTAGGTATGGGCCTTGCGAGTACGTTGAGAAGCAACGAGGACGTCACAGATGCTATCCTCCACGAGTACGGCCACCTCCTCCAATTCCCTACAGGAAGGCGTTTGGAAGAAGTCCAAAATGCTTTTGAGGCGAAGGGGTTTCCCGGATGTGTGGGGGCCATCGAGTGCACACACGTGTATATTGACAAGCCAAAGGGGACGCGGTCAGAGTGCTATTATCATCACACTGGAGACTTCTCGGTCGTCGCCCAGGTTGTGTGTGACAACGAGTGCAGAATTGTGAGTGTGTATGTCGGTTGCCTTGGGGCCTGGGTCCGTGCACGACTCTCGTGTGCTGCGGATGTCGCCACTGTACCACAACACCATGGCAGGCAGAGGTGTGTTATGCGAGGGTGGAACTATCATGCACGATGGAACACACGTAGGTAGTTACATGCTTGGAGATGCCGGTTACCCCCTTCTCCCGTGGATCATGACACCTATGGGAAGATTCGCCAGAACTGATGCAGATCGGACTTACGACGAATGTCACTCAGCGGTGAGATCTTGTACAGAGCGGACATTCGGACGTTTGAAGACCGTATGGAGGAATTTCATCCGCACTCAAATTGCGAACTTGGAGATGCTGCGCAAGGAATTCATGGTTGTGTGCATACTACACAACCTCATGATTGAGCACAGGGTGGAGATCGACCTGGCCCTGTTGAACCACAGTAGCGACAGTGAGGGTGACGGGCCGCCACGCAACCCCCGTCCACACCGGCGCCGCCGCCAGCGATTGCCACATCATATTCCTGATCTGAACATCGCAGTCGTGCCGGAGATTCATCCTAGTTACGGCTCCGACCTCGGAGCGAGGGTCAGGGCTAGCTTGATTGAACATGTGGCCCATCATGTGGATGTTCATGGTGCACCGCCGCCATGTCTGTGGAGATAGTGCAATCGTTGATGTGTCTGTGTGTGTGCGCGAACCTGTTGTACCGAACAGCCGACAATTTTTTTGTGAAGGACAACATGCCTCTCTCTCTCTCTCTCTCTCTCTCTCTCTCTCTCTCTCTCTCTCTCTCTCTCTCT